CGAGACACGTGCTTTATAAATAATGCTATTTCTGATGTGATGGTTTGGACGCCACATGGTAAACATTTTGCTACCTCCAAATTTTCCAGCAACGGGTTTCGTTTGGGGTTAACCAATAAACTAAGCATGAAAAAAGTGTCAAACTTTTTGTTCGTATTTATTGTGTTGTTCTTTAACCCTGCTGAAGTCCGCTCTTGCACAGTAGAAACGTTGGAGACAGCAAAATCTTTTTCGTGCTGCGTCGAAAATCAATAAAAGAGCATTGAATAATTGGTCAGTTTGACAATCCTTTCTATATGGTACATGACTGTTCCAAGACTAGATTTCACGTCTATTGCTTCGTCTCCTTATCCCTACCTGCATGCTAGTATTCAAGCTTATCACGGCTGATTGGTTTTCGAGCATCTACAGCATTACCACATGCATCTCGCATCGTTTTTGCCTGTTAGAGCCACCTCACATTCATCAGAGCGATGTTTCACGAGTTTATACCTCTGCATAAGCATGGAACATCTCCAAGGTAACCTCATTTAATATGTGTATTATCCATTCGATGGCTGTAGACGTATTGCACATGACAAATATTGAAGTCTCTATTTTTACTGTTCGGCCGGTTTTGTGTCCTTTCTCCTTGACTATCCAACCGATTATACAAGTGTTGAATGTGACACAGAATGCTAATTGGGTCTTTAAGAATCATGCAAATAAATGACAGGGTAATATACAGATACACTTAAACCCATTGCAAGTTCGAAATGAGGAATGCTCTCACGGATTATTTCTGATTTGCATTCTTATTTACGGTACTCAACGATTAAAGTTTCAATGATGCCGAAGCAATCATGGCTCCATAATTTTTTGTCGCGGATATTCTTCCTCGATAGAAATTTATTCTTCCTTTAAAACTACTAAAATGACATTGTCGTTCTCAGTTCGGAAGAATTTGGCATGTCCTCGAGCTCTGGCAGTTTTTGCTGCTCTGCATTTGTCCAGCTTCGACTACCAATGTAGCTACAGATGTGGTTTTCTCTCTGATATCTGACATGAAGCGCCGACCACTTCCTGCATTCATTTTGCCCAGGAATTGCTACCGGGCGTTCTGAGGGTCGCAGCACGCCGAAAAAAATTACCTGCAAATCGGAGACTAATACGACTAACGGTGGGCTCCAGTCCTTCAGTCGCTATTTGTTAAGTTGAGTGTTTTGCTGCTCGACAGACTTACTATAAGAGCATAAGGAATTCGTGAACTCCAGCTACCGATATCTCGCTGGCCGACTCCTTCTGAGTTCATAAATGCTCTTCAAGTTAGGATCAAGACTATTGGGTGCATTTCTACCATTCTCCCAAGCAGGAACCACAAGGGTGGATTATGCAAAGCCAAAAACTTGAGATTTTACAGATATGTACCAAAAATGCACAATGGTAAATCCTCGGAATCGAATGGACGACTGAAAACAAAAAACTTCGAAATAATTTGGCAACAAACTAGCGTTTCAAACGGCTCCTATATTTGGCATCATCAGGTGGCATACCTGAGAGGCGATCATTGGATGAGAATAGTGCCATTGAAACTGTACACCAAATTGACCACCAAATACACCAGTTCTATTGCTCTAGACACAAACAAACAGGCGGACTGCAGTCGTTATTTTAACTGGTGGTATTCAGCCAAATTGCATAGGTCATTCCTATAAGTGATTAACAAGGCAGGTACTACCAGCAATGGATCTCATTTTATTCCAAAAGAACAGAAGCAGTTTCCTGGAACTTTTCGACAGGATGTTATCTGAAGAGGAATTATAACAATATTTCAGGTGCAAGTCACGTAGCGTAAGTATATCTCTTCCACAGTCAGACAAAAGTATCATTGGATTTCGAACTTGAGCTTAAATGATTTTCAGAGACTTCATCCTTTGGTAGCAGGGAGGCAGACTTTGACCATACTACTCATGCAAGTGATTTCTGTAACACATCTCAATTCTGTATCCTCTTCAATAAGTTGTCACTTCAGTCGTTCTAGACAAAAGGAAACAAGCTGATGGCATTGTTTATTATAAGAGCAGACGTTTCAGCCAGATTAGGATGTAGTTTGGCTATAACGTTGGGATTAAAATAAAGACTACGAAATGTCTGTTTAATTGTGTCTGGAACCAATTAAGCGGCATCTGCTGACGAAGAAGACCGGAAATGACTTTCAGAAAACTGACTGTATCAATTTATTCGCATATCAAATTTATTTGCTTTATCGTACCTGAAAGATACGAGAGTAAATTACGAGAGAACTCAATTTTATTACAAAATACAGTTTGAAAAAGAAGTCACTGGCACAGAACGAATGAAATATCTTCATCAAGTACTTCCTGCCGGGGTTTCTATTTTCGCCAACGTTTTGAGGTAGTCGAGAAGGGGTAAATGCTTATTGTAAATTGTCAGGTAACCATGAAGCTCTGACATGGCATGCAGATGTTTTTATTTGCGTCTCGACGGAAAGTCGATGTTCTGCCTTTTCTGAGACTGATGTTTCTAACCTGTGTCGAAGGCATTTTGTAGTGATAGCAAAAAACATTTCTCAAAGAGACAAACATGATTGATTGAAGCTATTAGACGACTTCTTTCACAAGGCAAGTAAGCTTTCATCATGCTCTCTCAAAAGGTGGCCATAATCTTTCATCCAGCATTGCAACAGGAATTTTTTTCTGTACAACCTCAAAAGACACCAGAGTTCTGTTAGACCCTCATTGTCATTACCTCACTAATCAGATTGTTTGCATTACGACAGAAGAAAACAAATACTACATTGCTTCGCCGTTGCAAGTCATCCAGCTCTTTTCTCATCTTTCGCAATGAATGAACGGGAAATTTTGAACGACTTTTTTTGGCACGCGCTGCTTCTACTTTTTCACTGCTATTTTTTATTTACGACCTCCTCCCAGGTTTGCAATAATACAAACTCCTCTCTGAAATTTTCTGAAACATGCAGATAACCTATCTTTGATAGTATATATAACAACGAAATCTGTCACCTCCTCTTAAGCCTTTCCTTCCGACAGTCTCCGACAATTTAGTTAGCGGCACTAAACTTAAGAAAGCAACCTTCATTGATTTATAAACAGTCAAAATAAGATTCTTACGGAAATACTTGTACTAGCAGATGAAACCTTGAAACTGACTGTTTCGAAAATAATGAATAGGCGGTCGTCAACGACTTCGACATGACTCCGTTGGCTCATTTCGACCTCACATTATCGGAATAGGCTTAAGTCT